TAATATTAATTTTTCAACTTTTCATAAATGCACAACTGTGGACTCTTAAAGTGTGCAATTGAATGGACATTAAAAATATCATAAACTCAAAAAATAGTTGAATTTAAATAAAAAAAATTAGTGAATTTTTATAATGAAAATATAAACATTTGTTAAAGCATTATTTTAGACAAGTTGTACAACTCAAGTGCGTCATATAATTGTTACCGGTAACTAAAATGTGATTAGTGAATGTGAATTGAAAATTAACATAACCATTCAAAAATATCTTTGCAAATTAATGAATCATTTGAAGAGTATACTTCAGAAGAAAATATGACGCCTCAGTATGAGAAGAACATTACATAGTTGGAACAATGTGAAAAATTTATTTAGATATTGGCCTCCAAAGTGTGCTTATTTTTCATAAATACTAAGAAAAAATTTATTTGAAAATTATTTGGCTTAGGATCTTAACATATGTATACAAATAAAATTATTTTTAAGAAATGTTTTGAAATGTTTACAACATGAAAGCTTTAGATGAAATTTATTCTTAGTAATTGTGATAATAACGCATTGTTAAAAATTTGTAATATATCATATATTATTAATCATCTTTTATTAGCTAATTGAGTTTTCACAATAAATGTTAATAAGGCTGCCAATTGTAAAGAGAAGATTATTTATTATAATCCGCTAAATTGTGACATCATAAACAAATGTAATTTTAATGAAGGGTATATTATTTAAAATTTTACAAGCCTGATTATAATGGTGACTAGTATTTGGCAGACAAGGATAATTGACTTTGATTTTTTTTTGTTATTACTTTATTATGATTCACTAACTTATATTATTACACTATAATTGCTGTTTTAATGGGTATTGCATTATGATAATGAATATATTTAAAATAGTTACAGAATAAAAATGATTATATTACCATATTTTGTTGAACAATATTTTGCAATATATAAAATAAATTATGTTGCATTTATCCAGTAGTTATTTTTATTATTAAAAATACAACTTCTGCTATTATATATATATATATATATATATATATATATATATATATATATATATATATATATAATAGCAGAAGATTATGAATCATATATATATCATATATATATATGATTCATAAATATTAGTCATAACAAGGACAATTATAAATAAGTACAATATTGACAATGTTAAGTATTCCATTTGGCAAGAAAGTTGAAAACTATGGCATTTATACCCCTAATGTGTTAAGATTTTTTACATGTTGAAATCTTCTTCGACCATCAAGGTACATCATGGCTTCATGATAAGTTTTTGGAATAACCTGTTGCATCTTATCAGGAATGGAATATGTATAATGAAATACATTTGTTGTGTTGCTGGAGCCAGTATTTGGATCATATACATCAGTATAAACCACTATTTGCATATACTTAAGCTCTGTGTATACTATATATGCATGCATTCTCAGTAAAGAAGATACATCCACAGGCTTATGGAAACTGATATCACTGATGTGCTCTAACTTTGGCCGATGTTTACTGTAATTAAATTTTATGTTTTTTTTTTACTTATCTGTTACTATTTGTGAAATACTTACCTATGAAGATAACCTGCTGCCCATGAAAGTTCCAGAGCATGTCTCATCAAAAACCCACCAAATACTTTATTATGAAGATTTCGATCTTCTGGATGGGAAAAAACTAAATTTGATAACTTTGCATTTTCCATCCACATAGATGAAGGAGGTAAGCTACGTGAAGTAAAGGATTGATCATTTGTTTCTATTGTCTGTATGAACAAATCATGAATAGTACGCTGCTCTGATTCATTTGGTATGACCTTAAATAATGATTCTTGAGAAATTTTTTGCCTCCTCATCTTGCGATCTTAAATAATATTTTGAAATTGAAATAAATTGATTCATGAACTTATAGAATAAACACTCAAATTACTTAGGCCTCCTTCAAAGATTTGTCTCTCTTCATCTGTACTGGGTTGCAAAGGATTCACAACCGCTGCTCCAGTATTTGAAGGATTTCTAGCAGCCATTAAAAATAATGCACGAGTAATTTTTTGCCATGAACCATGGGATTGCTGTTCTAACCACACAACTACTTCTACTGATGATTTTCCTACCCAACTCACATGGCCTGACAACCTAATATCAGCATCATGCTAAAATTATATAATATATAGATTACAAATATATATACTCTAGTAACAAATATTATACCTTCGGTATATAATCTGTGAAATCTATTTCATCGACCAATACAGTTACTAAAGTATATGGCAATGGTATACCTTCCTGCAGATTTGGTATAACTAAATGCTTATTGACAACCCACACTAAAATTTATACAAAAACAGCAAATGTAAAGGGCTAAATAGTAAGTAAATAAATTAAAATGTGCACAAAAACTCTAGCAATTATGGTTAATGCTATTTTTGTTCAACTTGGAGTTTAGAAACAGCTATTTAAACATCAATTATTTATTTCTGAGATATAAGAGCAGAAAAATTCAAGTCATAAATGTGTTATTGACATTTTATAATCTATTCATCTAAGGTAACCAGAAGTCTCGTTCGGCCGGGATAAAAGCAATACTTGTCCCAGATTATCCCAGTTTTTTCGAAAATTAATAGGTAAATAAGCAAGAATTATGAAAACGATTAAGTGCTCACAAGACTCAAAAGCAACAAAAATATACAGATCGGAAATATAACATATAATATATCATAAGTAGAAAAGTCAAAATAATAATCAAATAATAAAATTCTTACTAAATCTGCAACTCTGATTAAAAAACAAAATTATATAAAAAACTGTTTTTCTACTGTAAAAAAAAAAATATGGTCACCTTAATTCATCTTAAATCTATTTAAAAATATAGATTTATTTTATAGATGTATTTAAAGAATACCAGCAAATAAGTCCATATCTTCCATGAGCCTCCCTAATCTAACATGGCCTAAAAATGTTACATATTTATCTTGCAACGTAGTATCTGAGCTCAGAGGAATTACTGCAGAAGTAAAACTATCTTGCATTGAGCGACTAGGAAGTTCTGATTGAGATTTGGGTGTAAATTTTGCTAAGTGTTCTCTAGATTGTAATAATGGTTTAAAACCTGGTTCCACTCCCATAATTCTCATCAAACGGTTTTTCACTAAAATTATTTTAGTTAATCTCAATTTCAAAGCTATAGATAATTATGTATAAATAACAACTACCATCTTGCATAGTATCATTAGTTTCTTTAGTTTCTCTGGTAGAATTCAATGAAAGAAATCTGCACGCAGAATATTTTGGCCTAATTGAAAAATAATCAGTTATATTTTGCTACTATATAAAGATGTTATTATATTAAATTTAAATTTTCATATATAATACAAGAGTGTTTAAAAGTTCCCACTATTTAATGCGCAATGTGTATTTAAACATCGGAGTTATTTTGTAGGTCAAAAAAAAAAAAATGATACTAATCCAGAAATCCAGATACTAGTAATAGGTAATAGTTTTTAACATATGCTTATTAATAACTACATCGGAAATTAATATATGTATTAAAACTAACGTTTTAAAGTATAAAGCATTTTCTAAATATCTGCAAACTGATTTAGTTATAATCGACATTTTTGACAATTAAGGATTAAACACTTCGAAAAAAATACACCAGTTTGATAAAGCAATAATAGTTATGGCACTAAAAATGAATCACATATTAAATAAATTAAAAATAAAATTCATTCTAAGAAGTACTCTATTTCACAAGATTTTAAATGTGACAGACGATAAGTTTGACATTGACAGTTCTATACATATATGCAAGGCCATAGATAAGGAACTTATGGGCAAGGCCATTAAATCCAATCATAGAACACGAATCTAAAATCTGCAAAGATGTTGGACTATAATACACCAACATTCAAAAAAAGAAAAAAAAATGAAGCACCAAATCATAGATAAAAAAAGAGTATAAGGACCAAATCACCAAATGCACCAACCATATTAATATTATTCTTACTTAATTAATATGATTTAACCATAATAAATGATCATGATTATGCTTATTTATCTATGATCATGATTCTTTTAAAACAGGCGCTCTGGTGTCCACTTGAAGAACTGTAAAAGACATAGGTGAAAGACATGACATATGAAATCATATTCCAATATTGATATCATATTGATAGCATATTATATCATATATAGCATTATTATATCATATTCTAATATTGTTCAGGTATTTCAATAAATGATACTTGAAAATTTATAGAGTATATGAAAGTATAAAAAGGCAGTTTTTATTTTCACTCTAAATAAGCCCCACACAAATATTTATATATTTATTTTAAATATCCACTGGGTAAAGGATTTTGTTCTTTGGGATATTTGCGATAAATAATTAAATAGTTGTTATCATTATTATTTATAATGATTTAAATATTTACATAAAAAAGATGTTTTAGATTAAATTAGATGTATGTAAAGAGATCCGCTACTAATATCAAAGTGACTACAAAAATTATCTTAATAATATCCAAAACCACATTGTTAAATTTTTTTTTGTTTATTCTTATATTACTGATAAATTAATTTAGCTTCTAATTTTGGTTTATATTTTTTTTCTTCAATTCATATTGATTATTAATTAAAAATTATCTTTGCTAGTCCGCCATTTTGATACAGTCCGCATCAAATATTAGCTTTTTCAGTTTGACGTTTTCTCCTGTTTGTGTATAAATTTTGCGTGCGGCTGTAAATACACTATTACGAATCTGTCGCAACAAAAATAATGTTTTAAATTATTTAATTTATATTTAATTGCTATACAAATATATAATTGAGATGAATGTTGCAAGATCAAAACATTTGCAAGAATTAAATAATTATATGAATGAATAAAATATATTTTGATTTTATATAAAACAACATATTTTGATGTCTTAATAATTTCTTTAGAATAAATAATAAATTTACCACTGTTCTAATTGTTGTGAAGCAATAATATTAAAATTATCAGACACATACTACACTAGTTTGTTGGTTATTGTATTGTTTCTTCTTGTGCTATGTATTTATAATTTTTAATGAATTGTGTACATAAACTTCTAAATCAACAATGGAGGAAGCAGACTTGATCGAATTAAAACTTGAGGGAATAGGTCAAATTAATTTCCTACGATAAATTTTTCAACATCAAAGTAACTATTTAATTCATCATTTATTTTAATTATAGATGAACTTGATATAAAAGATGGACAATTAGTTATAATAAAAGATGCATTTAAGCAAAAAGACAATGAGAACATAAAATTTGATAACTGTATCACTGCATTTCAAGAGGAAGTTGAAAGTTCACAACCTAAAGTTAAAAAACATCGATCAAGAGTAAATGTAATTTCGAATGAATGCCAGGTACTTTTTTTTTATGATTTATAATATTAATTAATGAGAATTTTGAGTTCAAAAGATTCCTGAGAAACATTCATATTGTTTTTTATTATTTTAAACTATGCACAATGAGATTTTGAAAAAATGTCATGTTTAAGTTAATGAGTTAAATTTTGAATACTCAAATGTTGTATAAAATATTATCAATTTTTATATTATGTAATGAATTTTTCAATATCAAATTATAGGAATCTATGAAGAATTATATAAAAGCACAATCAGAATGTGAAGACGATAGTGAATGTGAAACTGACATATGTTCTGATGAAGAATTAGAAGGTGTTTCTGACTCAGAGAAAAATGATGATGGTTCACTTAATGGGACGAAGCCAAGAGATAGTTGGGACACATATCCTTGGCTATGTACTGTTTGTAGTAAGAAGTGTGAGACGGTTATGGAATTAAGGTAAATGGTCAATGGTCAACATTTATTTATATGTTTTGTTTTTAAAACTTGTATGCTTGATGCTAGTGAAAAGAAAATAATACACAATGAAATAAAAAACATACTACACAAAATTCAATAAATGAAACAAAATATACTCAATACGAAAGAATAAAAAAATCTAACATAATACTAAATAATTAATTTTGAAGTATGTGATATAACATTGAAAAAATTAAGTGAACTGCCTTTTACTGCAAATTACAAAATTTTGTTTAAAAAGTTTGGTATAGAATAATAAAACGTAAACCTTATCCACTATTAATTCACTATTGGCATTAAAATTAGCCATAAAATTAGATAAAAACTCTTTTGCTAATATGAGTTAATACAAATTAAAAATATTTACAAAATAACTAAGATTTATTATTATTTCAATAATACTAATGAAGAATGTTGGCCAAATGTCTGCACAATTGCCAATTTTCACTGGTGGAAATTATATTTTATTAATTGAACAGTTACATACAGAATAAACCAATACAGAACAAAAACAATACTTCTTATTTTTTATGTTATTTATGCATATGTTTGTACAGCAATCAATAAAACATGTACTGCAATTAGCAGTCAATATAATCATATCTAATGTGTAGTATTTCACAGTTCTCGATCTGTTCTCAATTGCAATTATTACAAAAGTAATTATGTTGTATTTATATTTTAATTTATAATAACATACTTAACTCAAATATAAGATTAGTATGATTGTGAAGAATCATACTGAGGATAGATATTTAACTAGAAAGAGAGTGCATGCAGTTTTAAAAATCTTTTATATTAAATTTTTATTGCTGCTTCTTATTCATGTCATAGTTGATATTACATTTTAGATCACATTACTCAGAAATACATCGCAGTTCTCCAAAGTATATGTGTGCAGATTGTACAAAGCCATATAATAAATATCACACATTTATCAGTCATGTGCGGGCACATAGAATTCATCTGAGATTTTGGTGAGTTTAGGTACCTTTTTCAATCGTAATTTATATCAATCCCTTTTAAGTACATTGGGTGTTTAAATGGTTATATAGACATTAACATTTTTGTCAAATATAACAATTATAAGTTATGTTATTAATATCTATAAAACGAAATTACATAAAAGTTATAAAATGCTTCATTTCAAAATATATTCAAGATATGATCATGAATAATTATGCAAACTTTTAATTTTTATCTGTTTCTAGTTGTGACATGTGCAGTAAATACTTTGCGAATCGCAAAACTTTAGGTTTGCATAGGTCCCAACACTGTGAAAAAAGGCCTTATATTTGTAGAAAATGTGGAAAAGGTTTTAGAGCACAATCAGCTTTGCAAGTTCATTCTCGTGCTCATTTGCCTGATGAACTAAAAAATAAATATCATTGTGATCTATGCCCCAAGAGATTTGGTACTAAGCCTAACCTTATGGCTCATAAAAGAATACATTCAGGTAAGATTTATTTGCATTATTCTAAAAAAAGCTACTAAATGGGTATAAAATTTGATAAATGTCAAGTAAATAATTCAAATTAAAATTAAATACAATTAATGACATTAATACAAGATTTGGATTAATTAAATGTCCTCCTTCACATTCAATGTACATTTTGAGGAAAAGTTCTATGTATTGCATTTATATGAATCTTATTTGATTTAGTCTTCAAATAAATCTAATTACATAATTGCTTATTTCTTTTTTTAACCCATTGATTTTTTGCATTCTGTCACAACACTCAATTTATGAATATAAATGTTTACTGAATGTTTGAACAAGTTGTATAATTATATATACAAAATAATATTTTAAAACAATGTGAAATTTATAATATTTAGGTACTAAACAATAAGATATTCCCCATTAAGTTTTAAATAATTACTAAATGATAAAATGATAAATATAGAACTACAACGTAATTATTTCAGGCATTAGGGATTACACATGTGACCAATGTGGTAAAAGTTTTATTCAGAAAGGGAATTTAGATAACCATATGTTAACCCATATGAATTATAGACCATATAGCTGTGATATATGTGGAAAAGCGTAAGTATATATTTTTGGTTATTTACATTCACATTAAATTATTAATGATTTATCAAATTGTTAAATTGTTAATAATTTATCAAACTTTTTTTTTAAATATTGAAGGTGGTATTCTGGTATGGGACTATGGAAATTTTTTAAATAGAAAAATTAAATGTTGATAGTTTTCTCAACGTTCGTACATATTTTAAGTAATTTAACAGCTAGGAGTTTATATTGAAAAATTCATTGATCTAGAATAATATTACTATGGTATGATTTACGGACAAGTTAATTTTTTTTCATAAAATAGCAGCTGCTGATCAATCAGCCATATCTCCGAAAATAATTTTATTTTTTGAAAATCTTGCACACAAATTCTTGAGCAGAGAATTTGAAAATATAAAAAAAGTATTTTAAAAAAAATCTAGACCAGGATTGAAAAAAAGATTAGAAACTAATAATAGTAATAATAATGACTAAAAGTTTTATATTTAAATTTGTAGATTTAAAACTGCCATGAGGCTCAAGAAACATGAAACCGTACATTCTGGTCTTAAACCTCATCAATGTGATGTGTGTGGAAGACAATTTAGAGAGAGGGGCACTCTTAGAGAACATCATAGAATTCACACTGGAGCTATGCCGTTTTCTTGCGAATTTTGTGGGAAATGCTTCAGATTCAAAGGCGTACTGACGGTAAAATATTGCTTTATTATGTAGTTGATTTTTAAATTATTTTTAACTTCCCAAAAGAGAAGTTTGTTTTCATAAAAAAATCCGATTCGCTAATTTTATGTTTTCTCGACGTTTCAAGCCATTCTGAATCGAATGAGATCAAATTTGGAAAAAGTTTGTGTGTGTGTGTATGTGAACAGATTTTTTGCCGTAAATCAACGTTATCTCAAAAACGGCTTGGCCGATTTCGAAAATTTAAAAGCCATTCGATGTATCTCGATGAGAACCAGCATTTATCCATTTTGCGCGACGATCAGCCAAGTCGTTCCTTTGTAAATGGCAGAAAAATTTTTCCTCCACGTTTTAGCTCTTAATTCTGAATAGATTTTAAAAAGTCAAAAACTGTTCGAAAAATATTGGTTGGGAATGATACTGATTAATTTTAGGTAAAAATCGACCGAGCCGTTTTTCTGTAATTAACTGTTGAAAAAACAAAAATTGCCGATTTTTATAAAACTTTTTTTGGCAATAGATATCATGGTCTTATCAAACGTACTAAAATGATTAATGTTAAAAATTCATCAAAGTTTGAAAAAATATTATAGTCAAAATTTGTGTCAAAAGTTGCTTTTGTGATGCAATGAGTCAAACCTACAATTACCTACAATTCAAGAACATATATCAATGGTTGCCATTAATCATAAGAACAGAATTGACGTCCTAACCTGTCATGTCATTTATACCAGGAAGGCCAGCTGACCAGTATCAAAAAAATAAAAATACCCGGAGACCTAATATAATTTAATTAACTATAATACTTTCATTTTACTACATTTTATTGTTTTTTCCCCTTTTGGTTTTAGTTTTTTTATTATATCAGCTCTAGTAGATACTCCTCTGGGGGTATCTAGATAAATAAACATAAACGGGGGTATCTACTAATTTGTAAATCACAAATTGTAAACAACTCGTCAGCATTCTCTGCTAAAAGTAGTTATATATACAGATGGCAGAATAAAATTAAAATTTAAAAAATAATGAATCAAACATTGTCAATTCATTAAAATTTAAAATAATAAAATAAAAGCGTACGAGCACGTGCCGGTGCAATATAATTAATTAAAACTGTAATTAAAACTATAGTTAATTTAAATGTGTTTGAGAAAATTTTATTCGAAATTGCAATGATTAGATGTAATTAAAAGCGATAACTTTATTTTTGAAATAAACAGTTGAAAATTTTATCTAAATATCTAAATTTGAATTTTGGTTGATTAGTCAAATCTTACACATTTCGGGAAGTTCCTGCCTTAAGGCTATATGCCACTTTCAACTAGTTCATTCTAATTTTTGTGTAAGTATGTGTTTCAATCCTTTGTATCATTAAGGAAAAAATATGCATGTGTGCATCTGTAAGTGTGTATGTGTGATATACATTTATTTCAAAGGATTGGATTAATTAATTTGAATGGTTAAAATTTTTTATAAATTCTCAGAGCTCTTTTATTTTTGGAAAAATCGGTTGCATTCATGATAGAGACTAAAGCGGCATACAAAGTATAACAGTGTTATCAAAAATTATTCCATTTCTGTTCTGGTGCCAAATCACTGCACTCGAGCTTCAGAGCTGATTTTTTGGATAACGACTCAGACTGCTTGATCTGAAGCGCGACTTAATAAAATATTTAAAATACCCATTTAATATTTCAGATTGTTACCATCCTTATAATATGTATCTGGTCTATAAAACAAAATTCTGCACCATTCTTGCGCACTATTTTGTAAAAATAAAAGATAAAAATAAATATCGTTTATAATAATTATATAATATGTAATATATTATATATTTAATATAATAGCAATAATACATTTTGTTATTTCATTGTATAAATTATATATATTTATATATATATATATATATATATATATATTTATATTTATATTAATATTTCAGACTCATCGCAGGCAGCATACTGGTGAACGTCCTTACTCATGTCTTGAGTGCCAACATCATTTTACAAATTGGCCAAATTATAACAAGCATATGAAAAGAAGACATGGTAATATTAATAGCAGTTGTAAATCTAGATATAAAACAATATACAATATATAATTATAGAGAAAAAACACATGTTGAAATAATTGCAACTAATATAATAAATCACATGATACTATTGAAGGAAAACAAAAATAGTTGGAAAAAAATCACAATATGGGTAAAAAATTTTACTCATATTGTGATTTATTTTTCAACTATTTTTGTTTGGGTAAATTTTTTTACCTATATTGTGCTTTATTATTTGCTTTATGCTTTACTATTTCGGTTATGTAATATTTTTCTAGAACTAAGAAGTCTCGCGATTTTTATTAGATAACTTTGCTATTTACCACAAGTTTAGTAGTGATTAAAATTATTAATTCATTTCAGGTATAAACACCAGTGTAACTGTGAGAAAACCGCAAACAATACCACCAACTGGAATGCCTGACCGATCTAATATGATGCATATAGTTCCTACTATTCACAATAATATGCAAGGAACTATAGTTGTACCGCAACATGATAATTCGGAATTTATTATACCCACGATAATGGAAGAATCTCAGGAGTAAGAAAATTAACTTATTTTTGATGTATTAACTTTTATTATAATGAAATAATAATGTACTTTCTTACACAGTGTGATAACTAATTCAAACACAACTCAATACATTAATCAAGATAATCAGACAACCTATAGCATAACAGCGCAGCCACAAATACATGTTGCTTCAATAGCAGAAGCAGTCAGAAATCAACAACATGTTGTACTGCAACAAAGTTTAAATGCACAGGTAATTCAATATTTTATAACAGAAAAATTATGTTAAACTTAAGACTGAACTAATCTTTGACAGAAGACTACATTTTGCAAGCTGCTTTCAGTTTCATTGAATTGTTTAACATTTTATTAATTTTAATCTGACTTAAAAATGCTTAGTTAAGCGTAATGGAAATTTTTTTAGAGAAGTTTTGTTCAAGTATTAAAATGCTGAATTAGCAAAATGTGTTTGTAATGAGTAAATTTGTGACTGACTGCGAAGATAAAATTGATCTATTTCTAGAACTAGATCTATAATTTCAGTAATTTCTAACACATCATTGAATTATTAATTGACTTCCCAAAGTAGTAGTTTGTTTTCGCGAAAAAACCGATTTGTTAATTTTAAGATTTTTCGACGTTTCAAGTCATTCTGAATCCAATGAGATCAAATTTGGGAAAAGTATTGTGTATGTGTGAATGTGAGCTTATTTTTGACCTTTCGTCGACGTTTTCTCAAAAACGGCTGGACCGATTTCAAAAATTTAAAAGCCATTCGATGTACATATCTCGATGAGGACTCACATTAATTAGTTTCATCGGCAACGATGGGCCGAGCCGTTTCTTTGTAATTAAATGTTGCAAAAAATCTTACGTAGACGTTTTAGACCACAGCTTTGAATCGATTTTAAAAATTCAAAAACTGTTCGAAAGATTTGGTTGGGAATCGCATCCATTAGTTTTTGTTAAATATAGCCTGATGAAGTTCCGTACAGAGATAGATTTCGTAGTCTACGAGAAGCGCGCTTAAATTTGAATTTTTATAATACAAACTGGCGGCATTATAAAAATTCATCAAAGTTTATAATTTCGTGAGTTTGAGCGATTCTTATCAGAATATATGCGAAGCATCTGTACGTTCTATGGTGTTTACATCTTCACTCAAATAAAATATTTTTTTTGAAATATGAAAAAGATGAAATAAAATATGTTAAACAACTTAATTCAATTTTTGCTATTACATATAAATAAGTGTTTCAAAGATTTCAATTATTTTTAAAGAAACTAAATCATTATTTTCGAAATAAACAGTTAAACATTTTATCTATTATATACTTAGGCTATTATTTACACGTATCGGGAAGCTTATTATCTTTTAGCGCCAAATGCTACTTACAACTAGTTAAATTATAGTAGTAGTGCATAACAATGGGCTATTTTCAATTGGAACATATTTTTGATCTATATCTTCGAGTGAAAATTGACATCGCTGCTGTACAATGCCACGATGACAATTCGAAGTCACGACCGTGCCACACGAGTCCGTGAGCTTAATCGTTTTTCAGTTAGAAAATTTTAGTTTTTATTATGATATATTATTAAGTTAATTGAAATTTAATCGTTAATTGATACTCACGTTTATATCTTCAGTTCTTTTTATACATATTTTAAGTGGTACAAATTCACATCCGAATTATATTAATTTTATATATTTTAGTCAATTCAGCTGATAAACACTCAACCAGCGCACAGTCAATTGATCTCAAATGGAATGGTGTGTTCGACAGCCTATGCAACCACACCAATTGTTAACTATATTGGCTCTGCAGGAACTGCAGCTGTACTTGGGATATACAATCTCCAAGGGCTCGATATATCTACAACTGATTTATTACAAACTGGCAGCACAATACAAGGTCATAGATAGGATTAGATTATACATGCCCCAATGCCATAAGTCTGTGAAAAAAAAATTTTAATTGATTCAATCGAACGTAATTAATCTTATTCTCTATACTATATAAATAGTACATAGCGAAGCTAATTTATGATTATCAATATTGTTACTTTGTCATATGTTCCACATAAATGATTGTACTATTACTATTATTATTGGTGCTCTGTCCGAAGGCAGGTCCATACATGAGCACCACATTTGATTTTTTCCGTACCGTGTCTTGTGCCTTGGCTTTCAGTGCTCATTATCAGTATTTTTTCTTCCAGCGGAAGTTGTCCACAATCAGAAGTTTATTCGTCTTCGTCATTTCAGACTCTCTATTTTTCCTTTGAGGACGGCATGCAATAGATATTCTTTTCCTAATAAGAATTTTACTAGATCTATAAGCACAATAATTAGTATCTTATATAAAACTCATGACCGCATTTTTTTTTCAAGAGTGTAATGTACTTGTTTTTTAATAATGACTAAAATAGTGCAGTAAACGGAGCGTTTTAGGTCTGAATTTTTTTACTGTGCTCCGAATTGAATGAAATTTCGGAATTAGGTTCATCTTACCCTCAAGTTCAAAAGTGAAAACATTTCGGGTTGCGCCATCACCCCCCGGGGGGATGACACCCCTTCTCAATGGCGTAATTATATTTTTTCAAAATAACGTCGGAAATCGATAGAAGAACTAATTATAAGAATAAAATGTCTTCTATAGTTTTTCAAAAAAACTAATACTTTTCAAGTTACTCGCCACTAAAGATTCATATATTTTTGACGTTTTTCTTCGTTTTTTTGCAAATATCTCCTAAAATATACATTTTAACAAAAATCATGTAATGAACAAAATAATGTCAATAAAAATCTTAATAAATCGGTATTACATAAAGTGTTCTAGGAAAAATATTAAGCAAGATTTGATAGAGCAAAGTCGTTTTTTATTTCGTTCAAGATTTAATTGTTGTATTTAAAGCCATCTAGTGTCGAGGTTTTACATTTTATGCATTTCGGTGAAATTGGGTTTTATAGTGCTCAACATAAGCTTTAAAATGAGTGCTGTTACAAGTTTTTTACGTGTAAAATGAGTGAGCTATCATGCAAATAAGAAGCATATACGAAGATTTTTTCTTTTAAATCATATGGTTTAATGAGCGCTATTTCCACCAGAATTAAAGTAATTCACATTTCATCTAGAATTCACTTCATTATAGATATCTTGATAGATTCTAGCAGACTCACTACTTTAGTACAAACTATTTTCAGAAAACCCACGATTTTATAAAAACTTTTTTCTCCATTTTTTTTTAAAATCGAAATTATTTTCATTATATCTCAAAAAGAATAAAAGATACGTATAAAAGCATATAGATAAAAATCAAAGGGATCTTTCTGGCTTATTATTGTTTTTTATTATTTTTCTTTCACACAAAAATTGACAGAGTTATGAATGTTTAAAGACTGCGCGGCCGCGCAAATTGAAAAAAAAAAATTTTATAAAATCGTGGGTTTTCTGAAAATAGTTTGTACTAAAGTAGTGAATCTGCTAGAATCTATCAAGATATCTATAATGAAGTGAATTCTAGATGGAATGTGAATTACTTTAATTCTGGTGGAAATAATTACGCAATTGAGAAGGGGTGTCATCCCCCCGGGGGGTGATGGCGCAACCCGAATTGTTTTCACTTTTGAACTTGAGGGTAAGATGAACCTAATTCCAAAATTTCATTCAATTCGGAGCATAGTAAAAAAATTCAGAGGTTATACCCTTTTTTCCTCTCCGTTTACTGCACTAAAATTATTGCACTGAATTTCACAATGATAATAGTATAAGAACATGTATTTGCATAAGTATGAAAATTAACTTTAACAAATCGTTAGAGTTAATAAAATTGTTTTTTTTTTGCAGACTTATGAATTTATCTATTATGGCTACTTTCTTAGACTCATTTATAAGTTTCAGTGATATTTCAGTTTTTTATTTAACTATTATGAGTTATTGACCAAGATATTGATAGAATATGTTAACTAAGATATTCAATGAGTAAAATAGTATCTGGAATATTGAGAAATTGATTCATCACTAAATAAATCATATCAATAAAAACCCCTTAAACAACATTAATAAATATGATGTTTTAAAATTTACTCAACACTACATTCCAATTAATGTAAAGAGATATATGTTTTATATTTATTTTAATATGCAAATTTATATATCAATGATAAAGTATTAGATTCTTATAAAATTAATATTTAAGCAACACAAAAATCATAGAATCTAATGAAGTCTGCTTAATCATGATCATAATTATATCTTGTAATTTATTTTGATGGATATTTCTCAAATCAAATCATTTCATCACATTTAGTCATTCGTAAAACATTCATTTCTAGTAATAATGTTTAATATTAATTTTATATTGATGATCGTTTTAAAATAATTGTTAGAAATCAGAGAATTCCCTAGTGTGTAAGATATAGTTGTACATATTTTTATACAGAGCTCAAAACTAATAGACACTATACTATACCTTCTATGAGAAATTGTCTTCTTTTAGTAATTGCTGAAATTATCATAATTCATTAATAATGTGAGAAAATGATAATAAAAGATAATGGAAAATAATAAACATTTCTTACAAGGTAAAATACCTAGTACGTATTTTTTATATTGTCGTAACTACATTTTTTGGATACACATCTCATAAAAAGTATTTATTTTAGTATGCTCACTATTATTTATATATCATATTCAATTACTGAGAAGATTAATATTTTGTAAATCACCCTTACCGATTAATTTTTGTTAATACCAATGGCACGTTTTGCGTAATTTTTCTGGAATTTGAGAATTGAACTTGAATAAACCATTAAATTTTTGTGCCATATCTTCGAACGTAAAACGACATAGAACTATAGTTTGAAAATATGTGCCAATATATATTAAATTATTTACAGTTTGCATACATGCATAGATCCTGTTAGTCTAAATTACATGTCAATTGTAAGGTTCTGAAATCATTCTAGAATTTATCATTGAGTGGTAATGTAATTATTGCTCTTCTACATTACAGTGCCTAATAGCATTCAATTAGTTACATAATGTCAATTTTTGCAAGCCTATATTTTAGAGCCATTAAATTTCAAGTTATTATTATTTTTATAAAAAATATAATACTCTTTGCAATGAGCATTCACTTTTAATGTAAAGTTTAAATTTCAAAGGTTAAAATAATTCTCAATATATTAGTGAGGGTAAATCATTACTACACAATTCATATTTTAATATATAATTCTAATTATAAAATAATTTACTATCATAAAACAGACAAAATATTTCTTTTGTGATCTCGAGTCTTGTCATATTGAATATTTCAAGTACATATATCGTTTTGCTCAAAGAGTGTATTTTCAAAAAAATTAATATTGGAAGTTTTATTACAAGTCGTCCAAATCTTACAATACAGTTTTGTATAAAGAAGTTTTTTTTATCAAAAGTATACTGTTTATGTGCAAATAGTTTTTTATTCATTTCACAATAATAGATTTATTACGAACAAGATCAATTTGAATTTGCCAAATTGTATTATTGTATAAAAAATAAGATACATATGAGTGTCGTATCCGATAAATTTTCTCTTTTTTTCATATTATTTTTTATTTTAAATTAGTAAACCAGCGATTCTTTGAATTATAACCATTCATATATCAAATTGTAAGAATTTACTATTGTACTTTAAATGAGAGTATTAAAATTTTTTTTAAATCAACAAAAAACATTTTTTGTTACATCTTGGTCTATATTTTATCTTTAGTTAAAATGAAATAAAACTTTTAAATGACGAATTTAATTTAGTATTACAAATACATTTTAACGAAAATCGAAATTTTGTATAAAATATTTGATAGAACGTTTTGCTATTGAGTATGTCAAACATATCAAGAAATAATAAGCTATCATGATTAATTTTTTTTTTAATTTTTTAGTATGATCTCATAATTTCTGTTCTTCAGCATTACGTTTACTCTTCAGCTTGCTTATATTAAAAGTAATATTGCAGTAAAGTTTTCATGCTCACTCAGTATAAATATTTTACATTTAATGTGCTTAATAATATATTGTGTGATTTTGATATGGTTTACTTGATTTTATAAATATCACAAAACTTTGCTTCGGCAGATGATTATTATTTAAAACATGACAAAGTTGCTAAATCTAATGACATATGACATAGATCATGATTGAAAATAAAATTATTATTTTTAATAATATAATAATTATTTATTTATTTATGACCTACAACTAAATGGCATTTAAACAATATTAGTTTGGCTGAAGGTGACTGAAAGATTGATATTTGCTGATTATTGATATATAATGCATATTTTATTTACATTTGTTCCCATATTTGTTTCACATTTTGGACAACATGTTCCTCAGCAAGGGATTTTTGCATCATAAAATAACCTTGTATTTGTGCAGGACTGACTGGTTTATTTAATGCTAAAACATTATTGGCAAATAGTTTTGCGTTTTGTTCACATTTATCGCTGCCTTTGTAAAATCTCAAGAACATGTTTTCTAATTGATTCTGAGAACAATAACCTACATATTCCTTCATGTCTACTCTTCCTGGTCTAATCAATGCCGGATCCAAACTAAAAGAATCAAAGTGTTTTATAATGGCAATAAAGGTATTATTGAAATATTAGAAAATTTAAAATATAATTTTAGTTGCAAATAGAGCAAATTTTCTAAGAGGGTATTACCGATCAATATAGTTTGTAGTCATAAACACTATTCTGGCTTCTGTAGAAGCAACGCCATCCAAACAATTTAATAAACCACTAAAAGTAACTCTATTTAGACCTTCATAGGCTGATTTTTGTTGCATGGTATCTTCTCTGGATAAAAATGCGGCATCGATATCTTCCAAAAGGATTATAGACTGCACAGGTGCAACACTTCACATGGAATAAATTTAATACTCATTTATATTGTCACATTTTTAGATTCCTCTAAGATTAACATTTGGAAACAATATACTATTTAATTTGATATTATAATAAAATTGTAAAAGGGTTTAGAACACAGATTATATTGAATCTAACTAATTATTAATTTTTTGTTGTTCACATTTCATTTTTAACTTATTGAAGTTTATGTTTTCGCGAGAAATCCGATTTGCTAATTCTATGTTTACTCAATGCTTCAAGCATTCTGAGACGACTGAGACTAAATTTTGAAAAAGTATGTGAGTGTGTGTGCATATGAGCCGATTTTTGACCTTTCAGTGAGGTTTTCTCAAAAATGGCTAAACCGATTTATAAAATTGAAAAGCCATTCTATGAATCTTGATAAGCACTCGCGTTGATTAGTTTTTTGATACGATCGGCTGAGTTTCTTAAGAATTAGCAGGCAAGCGCAAAATTTTTCATTCTCGTTTTAGTTAAAAATCCTGAATAGCTTTTCAATATTCAAAATTTAGTATTTGACCAATATCGGTCAGGCCGTTTCTTCGAAGTTGATTGTTAATTTTTTTTTCGATGATTTGAATAAAACTGTGTGGAAGTTAAGTACCTAGTCTTAATGAAAATCCTAAAATATTATAGACATACAAAAAGTGATTAATAATTAAGTCTATCATTTTAACATATCAAGAAGTTCATGCAACTTGCCTAAATAACTACTAGTTATAATTTATGTTGGAGATGCTATGTAATTAACATCAATAATATAATCATGTGCATTTGAATTTTATAATTAATTCACAAAACAATTATCCATGTGATGATTAATAAATACCTTAATAAATGATTTAGCCTATCATCCGTTAAACCACGTTCTGATAAATTTAAAACACAAATTGCAAATTCTAGCTCACCAGCTAAAGCATTGATATAGCTTGATTTACCACAACCAGGAGGACCATGCAAGAGGTAACCTAATAAAAATAATAAACAATCTATGTAGTAATCTCACAGAAAGTATATATATATATGTATATATAATTTACCTCTTCGATAAGGAATTCCCCTTTCGGTGTACCAGGAAGGATTATTTATGAAATCTTTACAGTCATTTAATATTTTTTCACTAACACCAGCATCCAAAACAACAGATCCCAACGGTCTTCGCTTCCTTGGCTGTCCAAATTGGCGCCATTCACTTCCCATTGCTGTATACATAATTGTTTTTCCTTCTTGCTCTTTAAGTGCTAATTCTCGAGCTGCCAAATTATTCGTTTTAATCAATACATTTTTTGTTTGTTAAACTTCTATATTAGAAACTTTATATAAATTAAATAAAATTTAAAAAATCTATCGTTGCAATAATGATTATCCGACCATAGAAATATTTTG